TTCAACTTCACATAAAAAAAATAATAAATACATCAACTTCGCATCAAATAAAATAATAAATGTATTCAGCATCACCCATTTAAAATAAAATAATATAAAAAATTAACTTCATCAATAAACTTTTAAAATCTGCATTCAAATGCAATTAAATAAATTTATTATACTAAAATTTTAAAACAATTTGTGACAGTTAATTTTTAAAGTCTATTCGATGAATATGATTGAATAAAAAATTATAAAAATAAGAAAAAAAAATGATCAAATAAAAAGTAAGACGCACTCTTATCTTATTTTATGTTTAATGAATAATAAATTAATAAAATAGATATATTATAATATCTTATTTTGTCTATTCCTAATTTAAATTTTTCAACAAAATAAAATTTATATTAAAAAATTAATAATAATATAAAATTATCAAATAAATTCATTATACTTTATTGGTTCAATAAATGTTAAAAATAAAATAAAATGTCATATTCTCTTGTGATATTCATAAAATAAATGTTAAGTTTAATGGCTTCTAATAATGTATTTAATGTCTATTTTTTTTAAAGTTAAAGTCTAATATAAATTAGATATGGTTCTAAATCTTATTTATCGTAAGCCCACACTCATTGATATAATGTTTCTTGTTTCACATAAAAATGAATCTATTATTGATCCTTTGCACTGCCAAATGATTGAAAAAAATATTTTCCTCGCTCAAAAATACACTATTCTTAATTTATTTTCCTTAGTTATTGTTTTTAATACCTATTTTGCAAAAGAGATTTAATTTATCTCCTTTTATATATCATTAAAAAAATTCAAACCTATCTCTTTTCACTAATTATAAATATTTATTAGCCAAGTCAAATAATGTTTACAATATACATCACCAATTAAAAAATTGAGAAAACATAGAAAATAGTTGAAGGGGGAAATAGTAAATGCTGGCATGACTATAATAAAGAAATAGAGTAAGCATTATTATAATACATATATAATAATAATGTATTCTAAAAAAATAAAAATAACATTTTTCTCATCTTATTTGGATTTAGTTAGAAAAGAATATATTAAAGAGAATAAAATTATTTTTACCGAATTATAATATAATTAGATTTTTAAGATTGGAGCATGATTATGTTAGAATGCTCAACTAACTAATTTTCACGCTTGGTAAGAAAATAGACTAAAAAGTTGAATGGGAAAAAAGTTAAATGCTTGAAGAATAAAAAAAATAGAGAAAAAGCATATCTCTAAATGCAAAATTGGAAGAATGTGAAGGTTTTCATTGCTTTTGTTCCCTTGCCCGTATATTATTTGGAAAAAATGGAGGAGTTTCAAAAGCTTTCAAAAGCACTACTAAAAAGTTGACAGCTAGGCAATAAGGGTGAATAAAATGAGTAAAAAGGCAGCTACGAAGCGTCGTGTTTTCTTCAGTCCAAAAAGAAAAGAAAAAAGAAAAGAACAAATAACGAAGGGTGAGGAGTTGGTAAGGGGTTCAAAGGTGACACGGGGGAAACGCTTAAGGGCACTTCTATAAGCCCTTCTTGACAGCTTAGCAAGCGTTTCTAAACGTTCAAAAAATCCCATATATGCCAGCAAGACCAACTTAGGAAATAAACAAAATTTTCTATAATTATTTTTATAGTATTAATATATATAATTTTTTTTATCTAATTCAAAATCTGTGTTTGCCTAGGGAGCCATCCAATTCATCTATAAATTGAAACAGTTTCATGCTTCATTGCTCACCAATACACCCTAGACATAAGCAGCTAGAGAAATTATGAGTGAGAGTTAGTAAAAAGAGTGTCAACTTTCTGTGGGGTCCACCGATTTTCCCATTTACAGCTACCAGGTATCGTCTTCTTCATCTCTCCAACTATCTAATGACCTAAGTGGATGTGAATTTCTCTTGTGGATTTTGTTGATTTTGCTTAAAATTGATTTTCGATGTGTGACTCTCTGCATGCGATGTTTCACTCTTCACTTGTACTTATCTATTTACGTTGTTCTGAACCCAACTTGATTTGTTGGAAGATTCACCGTCTTTTAACGATTTCATTTTTTTTTTCTTTTAATTTTTCTATGGATCGATTTTTCTTATAAACAAAGTCAATTTTTTTCTACAAATCGGTTTTTTCATATGCAAAGTCAATTTTTTTTCAACAAATCATTTTTTACAAGCAAGTCAATTTTATTAACGAATCAGATCGAGTGCAAGTTCAACTCGAAAGCAAAGTTTCAATTTTTCTACTAATTATTTAGGGTTTTCGTTCGTTTATAAAAAGGTATTTTTTTTTTATATACAAGATAAGTACTTTTAGGGTTATAACCGGAACTCTCATACATAAAAAAAATATTATGTCAGAAACAAAATTAAGACCAGACTACTCTTATTATTTTTCCTTGCTTTTTTTTTGCTGAAGATTTTTCTTACTTTTTATTTTTATTTGACATATCTTCTTTATAAAATGAGTTCAGATTTTTTTTTTTTTTAACATAGTTAGCCTTTCAGTACCTAATTCTTTTTTTGTGGACCCATTCCTTACTTATGAGTAGTATTTGTAAATTTTTAAAGTAAAAAATGCATTAAACATGGAATGAAAGAAGACTAATTTTTCATTTAATGCTTGCTTGTTTTCTTGTTTAAAAAAATAATTTTTCTATTTTTTAATGTAGAACACACATTGCAATAATAATATTTAATTTAGATTAATTTATGCATAAATGTTTATTATATTTAATGCCTCAACATGATTTTTATTCAATTTTAAACAAAAGCACTTGAGTAACTGATTTTGTTTATATTACTTTATTGTTGTTATTATTATTATTACAGGGGGAAGTTAAAATTGAAGGATTACTGTCAAAGTCAGGCAGGGGTCGTTCTTTCTGAAAGGATTCTTAGGGATTAGCATAAGCTGGCCAAGGGTGTCCGACTTCCGGTGTCAATTAACTAAGGTAACAGTGAAGTTGACTTTTTTTCCCATAATATTTGTATTATTTTAACACTTTTATAAAATGTTTATACTATATATTTATATTTTATTACACTTATTTATGGTTGTTTGTCTCTTTATATCACATTAAATATTAAAAAAGTAGGAACATTATACTGTTCCATAACTGCGTCTATTCCCTGTGATTCAAAGAACATTTCTGTAAGAAAAAAAATTTATAGCTAGGGAGGTGTGGACAAAGGAAATGAAACTTATATATTTAATTCGAGTGAAGCCGTCAAGTTCTAGGACATTTCAGTTGTTGCTGGTGAGGGTGAAATTAGTTTTGGAAAATATAGAGAGGGGAAATTATTTTTTATTAAAATATTATATAATATTTAATTTATAAAAATTAAGATAAAAAAGTTTTGTTTGTATATTATATTTTTATTTTAAAAAATAAAGTAATTATTAAAATAATTTCTTTTGCTTTCTTTTCATTGGTTAACCCTCAAACATACTCTAACTAAATAAATTGGAAAGTAAGATTGGTATCCTCACATCCTCTTAGTCTTTGATTTATTTGTAATTAAAAAGAAATGAATCATCGAGATGAGTGTTAACAATCGAACAACCTGGTTGGATTCATCATCTTAGCCACAAACACTAGCTCTACTACCTGGTCATTGACTCTGTACAGTTATGTAGCATTACTATATCTGCGCCGTTAAACTCATCGTCGTCTTGTGCATGATCCATGCAAACTTGTTGCTTAGTAACCAACAAACACAACGTTTGAGCTCCAAAATTGACAAGATATTTTTTTTCACTCAATTCTTGCGAGAGCATGGTAAGGAAGGGTTGACCTAGGGCTTTGAAACTTAAGGCTTAGTGTATTGCTAGTTACAAAGTTGGCATATGTGAGGTATCCATAATTATAAACTCAAGTTTTTGTAAGAAAAAAGGTTATAGGGTGGAGTTAGGGTGTCATAAAACTTAGAGAAAAGTGAAGTTCGAGTAATGGTAGAGTCGAGTTTCCAGCAAGATAAGTTGTGAAAAAGAGACACTAGGGGCTTGAAGGATTATTGTATTCCGAATTAGGGTATCCAATTTCCAAAGTTTGGTATCTAAGGAACAATACGATAAAGGTTCCAGGTAGAAAAGCAAATTAATTTAGAAAGAAAGAAAAAAAAAAGCATAGTGAGAAAAGACCCATATTAATGGCATATCAAAACATATGCGGTTGACCATAAATTATTTCAGTGACCTGCTGTTACAACTAGTTGTACATTTAACCTTCTCTGGGTACATAAGTATATGATGGAGCTATGAGTTATGGGGGATATATGAAGTATAGTTGGTAAGAGCTATTGTTCTTCACCTATTAGTTGGGTCTTACTGTATATAACTTACAAAACCTTTTTTTATGGGAAATTCTGAAACGAGCGAACGAATTTGGTGGTATGATAATTGGTTCATCTTATTTAATGATCGATGTTTAATTTTGTGACCGTTTCTCTCTTCCTCTTCTATATACATGTAGATAATTTGTTAGATGTCCAAAAAATTCAATAATTTTAAAACTTATTGCATCATATCATTCAAGAGAATAGGCGATCTGAAGAAAAATTAAATGAAAATCATAAATAGGCAATGGTTTATTATCTTACCTCTCTATTTTTGACAGAGAACAAATATTTAAGAGCCTCAAATTAATGTTTTGCCACATTTTTCTTCTCTATCAGTATTTTAGATAAACTAATTGGGCATGTTTAGCAATAGATTTATGAAGCTCTTGATTAAGTAAAAACGCAATGTTATTTAATGCAAACATTATAATAATAACACGTTTTAAGTGATTAATTATAATTTTTATATTTTATATCTATTTAGTCATGTACTAGTTATTTTTAGTGATTAAGTAATGTTATGATTTTTTGTAGTTTTTTTTTTTTATGATTATCCTGCAGGTTTAGTGACTTTGTAGCTAGGAAAGGCAGATTACCTTGTCCTTAATTGCTTATTTTTTCTTTGGATCTTTGGCATTGAGAAGTAACTTTGGCAACCATGAACCATGAAGGTGAGATTACCTATTCCTTTATAAATCATTTATTAATTTGCTTACTTGCTTTAACTATATGATGTCTCCTTTTTATTCTTTTCTTTGTTAAAGGAGGCCAAAGTGGACAAGTTAATTCCGACAATGATAACATTGAAAACGGAGCCCATCCTCATCTATCAATTGAAATAGTGCAGAGACTATTTCCTTCTTCACGTCCCCTCATTGTGGAAAGTGATGACGGTTGCCCAGATATGCTCTCTAGGCTTGATATGAATCTCCCTCCTCCGAGTGACAATATTGTTCCAAACAACGGTTACAATATGCTCTCTAGGCTTGATATGAATCTCCCTCCTCCGAGTGACAATATTGTTCCAAACAACGGTTACAACTCCGGTGTTGCTCTTCATGAATCTGTTAATAGAGCATTGGAATTGAGCATTGCTCCTCCAAGTTCCCTTACTACGCCAATAAGTTGGCTTTCTGGATCAAATGTTCCTCAGTATCAAGATAATGAAGGGAATAATCCTCCCATCAATCTTGAATTGTCATTGAGCATAACCCAACCTCCAAGTGGAACACAAAATCAAGGTGCAAGGACATCATATGCTTCGAATGTAACTCACAATGTTGCTCCAGGGTCTGTAGTAGAAGAACAAGGCATGCGTAGTGGCATCTCAACAACCACTACACTTCTACCATCCAAGAGAACATTCAATGATCTTTCTTCTGGAGAATTTTTTGTAGGTGAAAGTTCAAGAATGGGTGCAGAAGCTGCATTATCCAAACGACACACTTCTACTTCTCACCCCATTGCCAGCAACGACATGAACACATCATTTCTAAATCTTGGGATGTCACTGCAACCCTTTAGTGAAGCTGCACAAACTCAAACCATTCCAAGTTATGTTAATCCACAGAACATAGAAACTAATACTCCTCCACAATCTTCTGTGGGTGCTAATATACATTCAAACAGTTACACAACAGGTATACAACCTCCATTGTCTGGCCAAACAACTATGTTAATCGAAACCCATAATGCTCCTTTATCTAATCACTCAGGAACTGTTGCAAATAGTTCATCACAGCGTGGAGTTGCTACTAATTTTCACCGAGTTGAGGGTGTTTACCCTACTTTTGAGTCCATGAGTGACGCAGGTCGAGGAATGAGCCCCCCTTATGTTCCAACTGGAACTGAAGTTATGGCGCCATTATATGGTCAAAGAAACATTCAAGAAAGCAGCATGGTTAGCTCTCCTGTTGGAACGACACCTCAACCTGGAAACTTGCCTGTTAGTGGAGCTGCAAGTCAAAGAAACATTCAAGAAAGCAGCATGGTTAGCTCTCCTGTTGGAACGACACCTCAACCTGGAAACTTGCCTGTTAGTGGAGCTGCAAGTCAAAGAAACATTCAAGAAAGCAGCATGGTTAGCTCTCCTGTTGGAACGACACCTCAACCTGGAAACTTGCCTGTTAGTGGAGCTGCAACCTTGGTTGGGAATATTCCCAACCTTTCTCAACAAACTGGTTCTTTGAACACTGCAGGTAATAATGTTAATTTTACAAATGCTCCTCCAAGGCTCCCTCAACAGTCAAATCCGAATGAATCCATGCAAATACCATCAAGAGCTGTGAATCCTCCTATGCGTAGAGTTCGTTCTCGTACCCGACCACTTGTTCATCCTTGGCGAAGTCGAAGATATAATGCACCATCATCTTCAAGCTCTTCAGAAAGCTCAGAAGAATTGAACCCTACAACAGAAATCAATTCTGGAACTGAGAATGAACAAAATTCAGGGGCATCAACTGCAATTCAATCTGGTAGCGTTGTTGGAGCCATTATTCCAGTACTAAGAGCTACTACTGATTCAAGAAGAATGCTTGCGTCTCGGGTATGCCCAACACTAACCTTCTTATAATCAAGTTATATAAAACTCACCTTTTTCACAACTCAATTTTTTTACACCCTTTACACCGTATAGTTCTTTGTTAATTTGTTATTTGTTAATATGTTCAAATAGCATGGAATGATTAATCATAAATCCTTCGTGAAAAATTTATTGATGTGTCAATGATTTATTTTTATTTTAATTTGCCTCAAACGGAGGTTTTCTCTTCTATTAAGGAAATATCTCAGTTCCCTCGATAATGTTTCCATGAAGGAAGAAATAACTCGTTTTCATATATTTCCAGTGGCTTTCTAAGCATCTTGAACGAGCATTCTTTTAGTTGACTTATAAATAATACATTAATACTATATTTAGGCCTAGAATAGGTAGATTTGACAATTTTAGAAAACAGAGTTTTATTTATTCATTTCAATTGAAGTGGGAATATGTTGATGAAGAAATGATATTTGTGTTAGTTGTATTTGTTCTTGATAAATGTTTAAGTTATTATAATTTGAGATTGAGAATGCACTTGATACGTGTTAATGGATAGTATAAACAAAATATGATAATATAAGTAGCTAAGTAATATATAAATATTTGTTTTTCTATTATTTATTTGATAGTCAATGCATAATAATACCAAAAAAAAAAAAATTAGGGGAGAAAAGGTCATGACTAATGTAATATTATATGGAGGAGGGCTATGAAAGAGGGCGAGGGTTGAGGTAAGGACTATTGAGGATAAGAAGATACAGTTGGACTTTTTTCAGCTTTTGGATGGTGTGTATAGGATAAGAAAAATATTGTCTCCAAGTTTGTGGGGCAACAAATTTTATTTTATTTTTTGCAGAAACTCTCTAAAATGTATATTTGTTAACAAATCTAACTCATTATCATTTGGATAGTTGTTTCGGTCTAGTGTATCTTATTACTGGTTCAAGTAGGATCTTGTTTCCTATTTTCATTTTAGGTTCATTTATTCTTAATTTTGGGGCACGTCCTCGTAGAATTAGAGTTGATGTTTGATTTTTGAACATATATTTTGCGATGACAAAGCATTACTGGGGACCCCAAATATATTAAATCTCCAAAGTGAACTAGTTAATGGACATCGCCTCATTTACGACATGCACCTTTTTCAATGGTTTGGTAAGCTGTTAAGTAATTGATGACTCCACTGAGATCTTAGGCGCACCTTCTAAGAAGCTAGTTTTACATTTGAAGTTTATTACAAATAGCTATCGTCACATTAATTTTTACTGTAAGCAAAAACTTCCCCATAAGTATCCAAACTGTTCTGAAGCAATCCAAAGATGTATATAAGACCCACATGCAAGAGACTATTCACCCTTTTAGTCTCACTTCATTTTTTTCATTTCATCGAGTCCCTTCATTTATCAACTATTATCAAGCTACCTAATTACCATTATATTGGGTCTAGCACATAGTTACAATTTCCAAAACTAGCACTACTAAATTGTTAATTAGTAATGACCGTCTTTATTATTGAACTTCAATAAGAAATAAAATCTATTGGAACATACTTAACAAATATTTTTTCATGAGCAACAGGTCTGCTCTATCATGGATCATCTACGCACGGGTCGCACTATAGTGTTTGAGGTAGATTATCACATAATTGTATATACGGAGAGAGAGAAAGAGATAGTTAGATAGATAATATCATAAGTTTATTTAACATTAAACCCTTCTTTTTAAACTATGTTATGTCGTTAACAACAGTGACAGGCGTAAGGAGGCACAACTTTATAAGACATACTGATTGAACAATCCTTTCAAAGCTAGCAAGAATTATTTGTTAATTTACTCTATTTCCTCTCTACATGATAATATAATATCCGGTTTGCTTTTTGTCATCGCTTCTAATAATATTTTAATTAACTTACGTGTCTTATGTTTACATCTTACAGGGAACGATGGTCCTTGACTATTCAGTTATGATAGATTCAATGGAGGTATGAAATCATGGATGGAATGATGTGAACATTCCCCGTGATGTATATTTAATGAATATGAATTTTTCTCATACTTCTTTTTTCACGCTCATTTTATTTGTATGTCTATTTCTTTTTCATTTTTTCCTTTCTTGCCACATTTATCATTATGTCTTTGGAATATAAACCCATTTACATGGGTATAAACGGGTTGTAAACCATAAAAGTTTACACTCGCTATCTTCATTTAGTATAGTGAAGCAACTTAAGTTTAGAGATTTTTAAATTATTGTTTTAGTAAGGAAGCAATGCATTTGAATTTATTTTCTTGGTGAAGAAAGTAATCATACATTCCAATTTAGAATAAATTGCTTGACTTTAAAATTGTTTTGGAAAATATGATTTAAAGCCGCAGAGGAACATACCGAGGAGAAACAATGTCGGAACCAATGGACTGACTGTCGAAGAGATCATGTTGCACCTTAGGCGTGAAAATTTCAACTTTGTTGGTGAACCGACTCCAGAAAATAAAGAATCATGTTGCATTTGTCAGGTGAGTCCTGCTACATTTTGATTCATTTGCGGGTAACCAAGAAGGAATTTTGGGAGGTTAGCTAAACACATGAAACTTTTTTTAAATTGTGGTTGTCACAAAAAATGTTTCTTTATATAATTTCTATTGTTATGTTAACCAATTAGGCTATTTCTCAGGTCTAAATAGGATTCTTGTATGCTTATTATTGTCATTATTATGTTATACTCTCTTTTAGTGTAGAAAATATGCATGTTTAGATCTCTGTGTTTTATTAGTGTTTTCTTTGACAAGTTATATATACATCTTTAACCAGGAGGAGTTTGTTGACGGAGAACAAGTTGGGCGGCTAGATTGTGTGCATAGGTTTCATGTTGAATGCATCAAAGAATGGCTCATGCACAAGAACGTTTGCCCGATCTGTAAACGAACAGCATTAGCTATGGATGCACCTAAAGATGAAGTTCCAGGAAATCAAGGTCAAGAAAATGCGAATGAAAATGCTGGTGATTAGTTACTATGTGTAACATAATTTGAAGACCAAGATTTCTAGCTTCTATTTTCCTTGCATAAGTACTTAATACTTGATGGTTTATGACCTTAAACTCTAGCAAGGTCTTTTCTCTTTTCTTTTTCAATGAATGATTTTATATGTCACTGGGACCTGGATGGCATTAGATGAAGTCATTCCTGCAAAACCTATTTAGTTGTTGCACCTTCATGGGGATGCTTTGAACTAATGTTTTATTCTCCATGACTATCAATTTGTTGCTTTTCTAGCTCTGCCTAAGATCATTTGAGACCTGAATCTTAGAAACTTCCTATGCTTGGTTTTGATAATAACTGTCTCTTTTCAATTAGATGGCCTTATGCTATGGGCACCCCTCTTTTTCTCACAAAAATTCACAGGCTATTTTTCTTTATTGATATCTCTAGAATAATTTTTATGCTGTACGTTTCTTAACTTTCTTTCTTCATTTGTTTATTCTCTTAATCTATTTTATACAAAAAAAGAAAAAAGAAAAAGAATTTCAACAAAAATAGTTTTCATTTTCTGACTAGATATTTTGTTAAAATGTTAAACATTAACTAAAATACTTTTTATAAGTTTTTTATTAATAGTTAAAATAATTCTTATAAAATTTAAAGAATCCTTTTCTAGAACCAATTTTTTTAGTAAGTTAAGCCAAATTCTTTTAGTATAATATCAGAAGCTATGTATTGTGAACGTTGAACTTAAAGGTATCTAATTTTACATACTTCATTGGATATTAATTCTGAGTAAGTTAAATATTACACGTTAAAATATAAACCAACTATTATTCATAAAACTTTGACCATCATCTTTTTGTGTACCAATTTTTTAAAATAAGTTTGACTGAATTTTTTATGTTCCCCTCCCAGTTGTGGCGTGGTGCTAAAGCTGGTGAAAGCTAACCATACATGTTATTGATCCATGACTAACACACAATTTATTAGAAAGTGATATAAATTTATAGAATAATTTAGAAAAAATCATTTCTATCTTCTAGTTTTAGGATAATTCTATAGAGTTCTATAACATTGTAAATATTATAATATTTAACCATCTAAATATAATGGTGGAGGATACTTATAAATAGGCATACTATTTCATTGTAAATGCTAAAAAGAAGAAGTAATCAAGCTATCATTTCTCTATCTCTTGAGTGTCTTACTCAAACTTATTCAACTATTCCAACTAATATATTTCAAGTATTTTATTTATTACCTACATCAAAAACTATTGGTGGCATCAAAGTTACGTTCAGTCATCTACTGGGCATAAAAATATTACCATACTATTCCAAAATTAAAATAAACCACTTTCAAAAAAATTTTAGCTCATAGCTAGCACTACTCAATCATCGTCTCTTCTTATTTTCAATGGTGAAAATTATGATTTTTGGAGCACAAAAATGAAGACATATTTCACTTTTTAAGATTTGTGGGATGTTGTGAAAGAAGAATTCATTATTCCAACAAATATATTATCCCTTACTGCGGCTCAATAAAAAAAAGAACTGAAAAAGAATAAATTTCGTAGGCCTTGTTTACTCTACAACAAGCTGTGATTGACGTAACTTTTTCAAGAATAATGGGTGCTACAATAGCTAAAGAGCATAAAGTATATTGCAAGAGGAGTTTAAAGGAAGCAAAAAAGTATGCGTTGTAAAACTCCAAACTCTACGACGAGAGTTTGTATTATTAAAAATGAAAGAGTCTGAGATCGTAAAAGACTACTATTCCAAAATAAAAGAAATAGTTAACCAAGTGAGAGCTTACAAAGAAATATTCTTGACAAAAAAGTTGTTGAAAAATTATTAATCACAGTTTCTTGTAAATATGATCCAGTTGTGATAACTATTGAGTAAATAACGGATCTATCTACTTTATCAATGATATAGTTGGTAGGGTCCCTTGAAGCTTATGAGCAAAGGTTGAAAAGGCATGATGAGGACTCAATTGAAAATATCTCTCAATCAAAGCTCAAATTACAGTCTCAAAATAAAGGTACAGTCTCAAAATAAAGGTACAGTCTCAAAATAAAGGGAACGAAGGAAAAAAGAATAATAGAGAAACTTCTATAAATAAAGATAATTTTATAAATTTTTCACAAACAATCAAGATAAATATTCTTCATGCAACATTTGTAAGAGGATAAATCATGTTGAAGAAGAATGTCGGTATCATGAAAATCCACAATGTTGACACTACAAGAAATTTGGAAACGTGAAAAAGTATTGTCACAACCAAAACAAGTATCAAGCAAATTTTGTTGAAGAGTATAATCAAGAACAACATCTTTTCTATGCTACCCAAGATTCTAGCAATGAAACGAGCAGAAATTGGTACTTGGATAGCGATTGTAGCAATCACATGGCCAATACTCAAGCCTTAAAACTGTTATATAAAAAAAAAATATGATGAAAGATCTCCCATGTCTAGAAGAAAATAATGAAGCTTGCGAAGAATGTCTCTTTGGTAAGCAACATCGACTACCATTTTCTACTGGGAAAGCTTAGGGAGCAAAAGACTTATTAGAACTTGTTCATACAGATATTTGAGAACCAATGCAAACACCATCAGTTCATAATAACAGGTATTTTATCTTTTACATCGATGATTTTTCTAGAACGACTTGGATCTACTTCATCAAAGCAAAATCAGAAGTCTTAGAAATATTTAAGAAGTTTAAGGCCCTTGTTGAGAAATAAAATGGTAAACAAATAAAAGTATTAAGAAGTGATCATAACAAAGAGTATACCTCTTAAGAGTTTGATGAATTATGTGAGGCAAATAAAGTGGTAACCAGATAAAAGTGTTACCGTCACATATACTCCATAATAAAATGGAGTAACTAAGAAGAAAAATTACACTGTAATGGAGATGGTTAGATTAATGCTAAAGAAAAAAGAATTACTAAATATCTTTTGGGTTGAAGCATATTATACTGCTGTTTACATACTTAACAGATGTCTAACTAAGACTATCCAATATAAAACCCCAATTGAAGCTTGGAGTGGGCAAAAACTATCAGCGAAACACCTAAGGCTTTTTGGATTGATTTGCTACATACACATTTTAGAAGAGAAGAGACACAAACTAGAAGACAAAACTATACGAGGTATCTTCTTAGGATATAACATATAATCAAAAGGATATTGAGTCAACAACTTGCAAACTAGAAAGCTCACTATTAGTCGAGATATTGAGGTTGATGAAAATGCTACTTAGAATTGAATAGATGAAAAAGTTCAGAAAAATGTTTCCATACTAATACAGTAACCTCAAGAAATTGAAGAAGTCTCAGGTGAAAGTTTTTCACCCCCACAACAATAAAATTGCTCACCAGAATCTACTCCAAGATGAGTTAGATCTTTGGTGGATATATATGAAACCTATAACCTGGCCATAACTAAACCTAAAAGCTTTGAAGTAGCACAAAAACAAGAAATATACGTCAAGGCAATGGAAGAAGAGATAAAAATGATTGAAAAAAATAACACATTGGAGCTAGTAGATTGCTCAATAGATAAAGATATCATTGAGGGTAAAATGGGTCTATAAGACCAAACTTAATCCTGATGGCACCATATAAAAGTACAAGGCAAGACTAGTAGTTAAAGGATACTCATAACAATTTGAAGTTGATTACAATGAGACATTTGCTCCAGTTGTCCACCTGAATACTATAAAAGAAATCTAATTGCTCTTGCTACACAAAAAAGATAGAATATTTATCAACTAGATGTAAAATCTGACTTTTTCAATGGTATTCTTCAAGAAGAGATTTATGTGGAGCAACTACAAGGCTTCATTAGCAAAGGTAATGAAGGCAAAGTACTAAAATTGAAAAAGGCTCTATATAGATTGAAGCAAGTTCCACGAGCATGGTACAACAAAATCAATCAATACTTACAGATCAAGGATTCAAGAGGAGCAAAAGTGAGCCAAATTTATACACTAAGATCCAAGGTTAGTATGAAATACTTATAGTCTTCTTGTATGTAGATGATCTTATCTACACAGGAACAATGTGAAAATGATAGCTAAGTTCAAAGAAAATATGATGAAGACGTTTGAAATGATTGACCTTGTCTTGATGAACTACTTCCTTGGAATAGAGGTAAAACAAAAGAAAGAAGAAATATTTATCTCACAAAAAAAATACGTTGAAGCACTACTCAAGAAATTCAAAATGAATGAATGTAAGACTATTAGCACTCTATTGATGACAAATGAGAAATTGAAGAAAAATAATGGAGGACTAGAAACTAATGTATCACGTTACATAAGTTTAATTGGAAGCCTACCATATCTCACAACTATACGACCAAACATAATGTACGTTGTAAGTATACTTTTAAGGTTTATGCAAAACCTAAGCCAAATCCACTTTGAAGCAGCAAAAAGAATCCTAAGATATATACAAAGCACTAAGGAGGAACTCAAAACTACTTGGCTACACCGACAATGACTAGGTAGGATTGATCGATGACGTGAAGAGAACATCTAGTTATGTCTTTTCACTAGGATCAAGAATAATCTCTTGGACTTCAAAGAAACAAGCAACAATTGCACAATTAATAGCAGAAATAAAATATGTGGTAGCTGTTGAGACTACAAGTCAAACAATATGGTTACAAATAATACTTGAAGAAATAAGAAAAAAAATAAAATGATCCTACTACTATATACTGTAACAACAAATTAGTTATAGCAATGACAAAGAATCTAGTGCATCATAGCAAAACAAAACACATAGCAATTAAATATCACTTTATCAAGGAAGCAGAAGGAACTAAGAAAATCAAGCTCGATTACTGCAGAACTGAAGATCAAGTTACAAACATTTTTACTAAAGCATTATCAAGACCAAAATTCAAACAATTATGCACAATCCTTGGAGTTATAGAAATTTGCATCAAGGAGGAGTATTAGAAAGTGATACAAATTTCTAGAATAGTCTAGAAAATTATTAGGAACAATATA